GCCCACAAGTTGCCTGAGGGCTTGTTGTTGGGTGGGGCCAGTCTCTAGGGTGGGCTGCCTGCCCTGGCTGAGCTGGATTAAATCGGTGCTCTAGTGGGTGGGGCAGACCTGGGCTAGCAGGCCCCAGGGAGAACTCCAATGGCGTCCTTGTCAGCACAGCCACACCAGGCCACAACAATGGCCGCAGCCAATGTCCCAGTCCCTGGAGAGGTCTCACCTCTCACTGAGATGCACTCAGGGCCTATCAGGTCAGTCTCTTTTCACCAAAGCACTGTGCACCTTTCTTTCTGGTGATTTTCGGTTGCTTTCTGAAATGGGTGAGTTTGCGCATGGGCCCTTTAAGAGTGGGTTTTAATTTCTTTGTGAACCAGCTTTTCTGGGGGTATTCCCCAATGTTTTACTGGCAGGCAAAGTCAGATATTATGCCACTCGTCTCGATTGTGCTGGGTCCACAAAATGCCCACAGCGGGGGTGCTCCCTGGCTCAGGGCCCCACTCCTCCAGGGAGGGCTGCAGACCTATGTGTTGCTCCCGGGTGGCTGTGCAGCTGGCGGCTTGTGAAGGTGGCATTTTTTCTCTCCTGAAGGGAGTTTCTGCCTCTTCCACCTCAATTAGGGTTGTCCTTTGTTGCAAGGGTTCCTCTTATCCAGTTTTCAGTTCTGTCTCAGGGGTAATTTTTCCATGAATAGTTCTAAATTGGCTGTGTCCGCGGGAGGAGGTGTGTTCAGAGTCTGCTTACGCTGCCATCTTGACTTCCCCCTGACGTCTGCTTCTATTGTCACATCTCCTTCTCTGTCATGTATAAGGACATTTGTGATTACCTTGGGCCTACCTGGATAATCCCCGATAATCTGTCTAGCTCAAAGTCAGCTGATTAGCAAACATGATTCCATCTGCAATCTTAATTCCCCCTTGGCAAGTAAGAGAACATAGTCGCAGTCTCCAGGGAATAGGATGTGGACATCTTTGGGGGCATTATTCTGCTGACCACACTCATCATCTCTGTTACTTCTCTGAATTCATCCCCCCCACTCTCTCACTTCTCCACTCCCACCACACTGGCCTCTTTGCTTTCCTGGAAAAAGGCAGACATGCCAAACAAGTTCCTATCAGGGCCTTTGTTCTGGCTGCTCCCTCTGTCAGGAGTGCTTGCTCCAGATATCAGCAAGTCCTGTTGTCCCCTTCACACAGGGACTTGCCCTGACCTCCTTATAAAATAGCACTGTGAGCCCCAGGAAAGCAGACTTTGCTGTGTTCACTGCTGTTTCCGACACCTGAAACAGTGCCTAGCAAATGATAGATGCTCAATAAATGCTTTCCAATAAATAAATACATGGAATACATAGATTCGTGCAAAGGCCTAAAACTAAGTTACATGTCTAAGCTTATAAAATACGGGTAAAAATTTTAATTTATGAGTAAAGACAGAGTTGGAATCTACAGAAAATCTTAGACACATTAGTAAAAGGGTGAGTCATCACCATAAATACGTGGGGGGCTCTTTGCCTGTGACATGCATTGGGCATTGTGGCCTTTTAGGGCAGGAAACAGCTATTGGGGAACCCCAGCTGCGAGCTCATGGGTAGTGACTTTGAAAGCTGTGGGTGCAGAGGGCCTCCGAGTCTACAGGTAGGACCTGAGGTTTGGGGGGAATCACAGTGGATTCTGGCAATTCTCTGACACCCCTGGCAGCAATTGGTTGAAGTCAGGCAAGGCTGTGGAGGCCAAGGAGGGAGATTATTTTATTCACATACCTCAAACTATCCCTGCCCCGTGGACATGAAAATACTTACTTTGGGGTGACAACAGGTTTTGTTGTTGGTTGGACATAATTTTGTCTTTTTGAAGCTGGAGGAAGAGGAGTTAGCCTGAAAGTGAAAAATAAAAGAAAAAGAAAAAATTGGAAATTCAGAAACCTGTTGTAGCACCCCCAGATGAGGCACATCCCCACGGTGACCCCAAATCAGAATATATGGTCTGACAACTGAAATCTTTAAAATTGGGATGGTCTTAGGAACCTCAGGCAGAAGGCCTTGGCACTTGTTCACTGTCCCAAGGGGTCCCCGGGTTGGCAGCACAGCTCAACCCCCAGTTCCCAAAGCTCTTTGTCCCACAGGAGGGGCAGCTGCCATGGGCCTTTCCCTGCAGCACTAACTCTGAGATGCCCTCATTTAACATGACACCAAGCTTGGCAGCACCAGCAAGAGCAATGTGCAGGCAGTGGGCCAGCAGGAAAGCTGGCAAAGCGAGGCTTCCTGGCCCTCTCAGGATTTCTCTGCCAAGTTGACTGTCTGGAAATCTTGTGAAAGAAAGAAGGCTGCAAATGGAACCCAAGCCCCAGGCCCCACTCCACCCCAGATAATCCTCACTTGGGCTTCCCTGGGGAGGGCTTGCTTGGTGGTTGAGGGGTCTTGATTAGCTTCCGCGTTCCCGAGTTCCAGGGGTCCTGGCAGGTGCAGTAGATGAGAGGGTTGGGGTACATGGCAGGAGGGCAGGGTCAGTCTTGGCTGCTAGGTCAGGAGGCCCTTGCTGAAACAGGAAAACGACAGGAGAGAGTTACACATTCAGAGTCAAAGCAACAAACTTAGAGACAAATTGGGAAGGACCCAGGGGAGGCCCAAAACACAGACAGTAGATTCTGGAAGCTGTTGATCTGGTGCAGGGTCTGGACGATAGAAGGACACCTCACCACTTACCATCCAGTGGACTTGATTTGAAAGCAATTTAAAATTTGCCATAGTTGAGTGCTTACTGTGATCCAGGTATACAATAAGTGATTAAGTATTGTTATTCCAGTTCTATAGATGAGGACACTAAGGCTCAGAGCAGTCATGGAGGAGCAAGTTGCAGAGTTTTGAGAACAAGCACAAGTCTACCTGCCCCTAAGCCTTTGCTCTTCCTTCAGGTCACACTAGCTCTCACTGAAGTGAAGAGAAATCCCTACAGCAGGTCCTGCACAGAACTTTCTGGAAAATTGCTCTGTTACTCAAACTACAGTGCAAGTGAATTTCCTAGTTTCTCATTCTTGGTCACCTGCCTGAATTACACAGTTGAAACCTCTTCCTTCTTGGCTCCAAAAAAACAAAACCAAAAACAAAAATCTCTATTATGAAGGTTTGCACGAAAGACAACTCTCAGATGAACATGGAGGCTCAATCACACTTATCTTCTTTCTTTTGCAGAACCTCACTAAAATGAGAGCACAGGATTAAAAGAGGGTTCATTCCATAAGAACAAAGAGAACAGGAGCGGCGACAACATTGCACAAGGGATGTCAATCCATGTTTGGCACAATGACTCCCTCACTTAGCCTACATGCCTGCAAAGGGGGTACGAACCAGAAGGAGCCAATTCCATGCAAAAGACCCCAAAAGACTCCGAACTTGGAACTGGTAGATTATCTGATGATGCTGATAGGCATTTGACAGACCTGTTGGAGCACGTGGTAGGTGGAATGACGCCCCTTCCCCTCAAAACATGTCCGCATTCTAATTCGTGGAACCTGTGAGTATGTTACCTTACATGCCAACAGGAGCTTTGCAGCTGTGACTAAGTTAAAGATCTTGAGAGGGGGGATGACCTGGATTAACCATGTGAGCCCAGGGTAATCACAAGCGTTCTTATGAGAGGAAGGTGGGAGGGTCAGAGTTGGAGCAGAAAATGATCAGATAGGAGTGATTGAGGAAGGGGCTATGAGCCAAGGAATGTGGGCAGCCTCTAGGGGCAGGGAAAGGCAAGGAAATGATTCTCCCTATAGCCTCCAGAAGGAATGAAGTCCTGCCAACACCTTGATTTTAGCCCAGTGAGACCCACTTCCAACTTCTGACCTCAGAACTGTGAGATAATAAATTGGTGTTGTTTGAAGCCACTAAATTTGTGGTAATTAGTTACAGAGTTTTCATAACAGGAAACAGAGCATTTGGGGGAAAATTAGCAAGAAACATAGAAACCTAAGAAAATAAAAATTGCATAATTACTTCAGGTTAAAAAGTATGTATAGAGAGGAGAAGTCAAGATGGCGGTGTAAGCAGACTCTGAACTCACCTCCTCCCGCAGATACAGCCAGTTTACAACTACTCGTGGAAAAATTACCCCTGAGACAGAACTGAAAACTGGATAAGAGGAACTCCTGCAACAAAGGACAATCCTAATTGAGGTGGAAGAGACAGAAACTCCCTTCAGGAGAGAAAAAACGCCACCTTCACAAGCTGCCAGCCACACGGCTGCCCAGGAGCAGCCCAAAGGTATGCAGCCTCCCTGGAGGAAGAGGACGCTGAGCCAGGGAGCGCCCCCGCTGCAGGCATTTTGTGGACCCAGCACAACTGAGATGAGTGGCATAATATCTGACTTTGCCTGCCAGTAAAACATTGGGGAGCACCCCCAGAAAAGCTGATTCACAAAGACATTAAAACCAGCTCTTAAAGGGCCCATGTGCAAACTCGCCCGTTTCAGAAAGCATCCTAAAATCACCAGAAAGAAAGGTGCATAGTGCTTTGGTGAAAAGAGACTCACCTGATAGGCCCTGAGTGCATCTCGGTGGGAGATGGGACCTCTCCAGGGACTGGGACATTGGCAGCAGCCATTGTTGTGGCCCGGTGTGGGCGTGCTGACACAGATGCCATTGGAGTTCTCCCTGGGACCTGCTAACCCAGGTCTGTCCCACCAGCTAGAGCACCGATTTAATCCAGCTCAGCCAGGGCAGGCAGCCCACCTAGAGACTGGCCCCACCCAACAACAAGCCCTCAGGCAACTTGTGGGCATGCATAGATTGGTGACTGGATTCTCTGCAGCCTGGCAACTGATCCCACTTCAGTGGGGCAGGGCGTGCACAAGGAGC